TAAGTCAACAATTGTTAATAAAGTAAGAATGACCTTTCAAGCTATCAAACCGGTTCATCAGTAACCAGCCATGAATAATGTTGTTGTAATTCTCAGCAACTAGATTGAGATAAAATTACCCTCCTGTGGCTGAATTTGCATGATATGCTGATCTGAGGAAGCTGGAGGGGTTTGGTGGATTTCTAGCTCCTCCAGCCATTAGAGAACTGTTGAAAAGAAATGTCACTGGTGGTTAGGGGCTCAAAGATTCATTAAGGTGAAACTGCAAGTTTTTCCCCTCAGAGRGGCTTAGAAAGCTGGAGAGGAGCTTCAGGCTGAACTTCATTAATGCTTTGAGACTGTGTCACAGAGGAATAGAAACTTGGGGGTCAGGTTAAGCTGACCTTGAATCCTGGTTCTGCCACTTCCTGGCTGTCTGACCTCTAATTAGGTATTTAGTTCTCATGCTGTTATTTCATTATGTCTAAAATGAGGATCATGACTGTTCCTTMCCTGTAGGACTGAGAGATGGGGAGGGGGGGACAGATAGGCAGGAGAGGCTAAGGCATGAGCTCAGGAAGCTAGGTTTCCTGTTCATATTTCCAGTCAGGTCACTGACCAGTGCCCAGAGGACGGCCACAGAGAGAGACAGATTAGTGATGGCAGTGAAGCGCATCTAGAGAGAATCTCAAATGTTTTGATTTCCCTGCTTGTCCCAGGGGCTTTGTCTCAAGCTGGAAATTTCCTGAAGTGCCCTCAGTGAGGTTGGGATGGAGAGGAGTGCTCATCCCTTACTGAGGCATGCAGCAGTGAATTCCCACGGGGGAAGCGTGGCCTCGGAGATAATGTACTTATAAAAACGGGCTTTCTAGATCTTGGCCCAGAAAACCAAAGCTTACTACTATTCTGTCCTAGTCACCAGCATTCGGGATATTCTTAAAATTTGAGTACAGGCACTGATCTGCTTTTTTCATCTGAGATCATATATGTTAAGTGAAATACAGTGCCCCTGATTCCTTTTGGGGGTACAGTTCTTAATGTTTTGACAGATACACTCAGTTGTGTGACCACCATACTCCAGTCAGAACATTTTTGTCACCCCCAAACATGTTCTCCCCCAGCCCCCACACAGCAGCATAGCCTGCTAGGTCTTCATTGCTGCATTTAGRTTTAAAAGAGTCCATTGGCTGTGAATCTTGGAACGTTCTAGAAAGCACTGATTGTCACAGTCCACATTTGCAAGTTGTGAATTTCTGCACGATCCCATCTCCAGCCTGTGAGCCTCAACCTTCCATTCATGTGTTTTTGGGGCGGAGATTTGTCGCTCCTCCCTGGTGCCACCTGTGAGCATGTGTCCTGACAGGATGCAAAAGTTCTAATGCTGGTTCTCAGCTCTCAGGAGCCATGATTGGGTTGAAGAGATATGGTATATACAGCTTAAAAGTTAAGTGRAAATTTACAGAATTAACAAGAAATATGAAACAGAAAGTCAAGGAATGCCACAAGGTCCTGTCATGGTGTGGTTTGGGCTGAGTTCCAAGGACGGGGAGTGAGAGGTGTGCAGAGCAGACACAGGTCTGTAGGTGCCGCAGTGATCAAGAAGKCTCCAGAAAATGGGCATTCTGGATAACTCCTGCCACAGTCTGGCTGGGCTCAAATCACGAGCCACTGAAGCAGGAACAAACTTTATTTCTGAACTCCACCAGCACACTCCACACACGCTCCCCAGGAACTCTCCCAAACGCCACCCACACCGCTCCTCCAGGAACTASCAACCGGAAATCCCTCCTCCGGCACTTCCCCAACCAATGTGAACTCTCCAGGAATCCCCGAGAGAACTCCAAAGTAGAGGAGCCAAAGCGAACAGTAAAGGTCTAATATACAATTGAATCAATCCAGCATCATCTCAATGGCTCGCCTCTCAACCAATACTATTGGCAAAATGCCAGGGGCCATTCCGACTGGCTGTGGCCCTCAATAAACTCCCATTGCTCTACCTCCCACTCTCACTGAATTCCTTGAACTGGAAAGAAATACTCCAGCTCCTCAGCTTTCATCTCGTGTTCTCCCTCTTGCCTTCCCCTCCTTCTCCATATTCACTGCCGTAAGCTTTAGCTCACTCGGTGCTGCCCAATCGCCTACTAGACTCTTTAGCAACCCTCTTGTCCCTGGGGCTCTCTTGCCGCCCCTCCTGGTACTGGATAACAGGGACCTTGCAAGCAGGTGCTCCATGAAACCTTTGTTGCCTTGGTGTGCTCGACTTTGCATGGTGCCTTCCCTCTTCAAACACACACACACACACACACACACACACACACACAGTGCTTGCTTGGTTTCTGTCTCCACCCACCAAGTGCCTCTTAGGACTGGATAGGACTTTGTGGTTTTCTTTTCCTGCCACTTTATTGACTAGGGAGAAATGGCAAAGGAAACCTTGGGAGGGGTCCTTGTGGGCACTCAGTTGGAGCCTGATGACCTGCATAATCCATGCCCTCACACTCARATGGGATAGTCTGAAGGGTGAAAGCAGAATTTGGGAGTCTGCTTGCCATAAATAGCCTGCTTGCCTCTTCTTTAATTATATCCCTGCCAGGAAAACCTAACAGAATCCCATTTCCCTTCCATTCTGTTTGCTGTGGCTTTGTGAACTCCTGTCACATCCTATCACATCCYCAGCCCCGTTCCCAGCCTCTTGGGTGCCGTCTTTTCTTTGTTACAAAACCCAGGAATTCCCACTGTACTCTGAAACCTTCCCTGAGTAGAAATCAGATAAGGTTCTCATCACCCCCAAAGTAATTACAACAGGGACTTAAAACAACTCGTCGCCAATAAGAAACTTTGAGTGACTGAAACAAGAGCCAGTTCCCAATTCCAGGAGACGGCAGTGAGGCTCCTTTCTGCCTAACCTGAATATTGTATAGTTGCAGAAGTGGGAGGAAAAGGACAGGAACAAAGGGCACTGCATAGAATCCAAGCTGTGTGAGTTTGMACAGGACACTCTCCCTCTCTGTGTTGGAGTGTTTTCATCTTTAACAGGATAATGATGGCTTCCCYGTCATTCTCATGGGTTTAAATGTTAAAAGAACTTACACACATTGTTAGTATAACATTGATTATGGTGGCGAATGCTTTTGAGGACCTTGGGAAAATACTGCTGTACCTCCCAATTACTATGCTATTATCTTCTCCTTTATTAATTGGAGCCARTTTTCAGGGACATTTCATCTAATCAACTGCCAACAGGAGTATAAGGTCAATTCTCTGTCAAATTAGGACAGGGCGTTTGGGACATTTAAATTAAAAACACAATGGAGTATCATTACTTACCTATCAGAATGGCTAAAATAAAAAATAATGACAATGCTAAATGCTGGTGAGGACACAGAGATATTAGATGACTCAGTCATTGCTGGTGAGAATATAAATGTGCAGCCGCTCTGGGAAACAGTTTGGCCGTTTCTTGTAAAACTCAACATGCAATTCCCATATGAGTTGGCAGTTGCACTCTTGGGCATTTATCCCAGAGAAATGGAAACTTATGTTCATGCAGAACTTGAACACCAACGTTCATAGCACCCTTATTTGTAATAGCTAAAGACTGGTATCAACCCAGACATCCTTCAGTGGGTGAATAGTTAACAGATGAAGTACACCATACCATGGAATACCTCACTCGGCCAATAAAGAAGAACCAACTATTGGCACACACACAGGACCTTGGGTGACTCTCCAGGGAATTATGCTGAGTGAAAAATGCCAATCCCAAAGGATKACTGTATGAGTCCATTTATGTAACATCCTTGAAATAACAAAAATATAGAAATGGAACAGATGAATGGTTGCCAGGGGCTAGAGAGAAGACAGTGGACAGGGAGGTCCTGAAGGAAAGTGGGTATGGTGACATGAGAAATACTTTCACAGAACTTGTTAGTATTTTGACTGTAGTAGTAGGTACTTGAAACTACCTATGTGATAAARGTTGTATAGAACTAAGTATGCACACTCACATACAGGAGCACAAGTAAAATTTAGGAGATCTCAACAAGATGGTGGACTTTCACCAATGTCAGTATCTGATTGTGATATCAAATTCTAGTTTTTATAAGATGGTATCGTTGGAGGAAATAGACTAAAGGGCACACACGATCTCTCTGTATTTTTTCTTTCTTTCTTTAAACTTAAAAAAAAATTGTTTTTGTAGATGGACAGCATGCCTTTATTTTATTTATTTTTATGTGGTGCTGAGGATCAAACCCAGTGCCTCACACATGCTAGKCAAGTGCTCTGCCACTGAGCTACAGCTCCTACCCTCTCTGTAATATTTCTTACAACTAATGTTAGTTTTTAATTGTTTCAAAATTTAAAATTTAATAAAAAAAATATTGAGGCAGTTGTAAAGCTAGCGATGGTCAGAATTCATCTTAGCATTCTGTTTTGGAGATGCAGTTAATGTTTGTTAGAATTGGAGAGCCAACTTTTAACATTGTTTTGGTATTTTGGCCAATTGGTCATATTCAGAGAAGGAAGAAGCTGAGAGTATGGATAGAGCCCCCTCCCCCATGACTTAAAATAACACAATGGGGTGGATTTTCATGGTTTTTCTTCTCATTGAGGTTTGATAACGTCTCTCTGGACCAAAGTTCTTAGAAAATAAGTACAGGATATTCCTTGAGCAAAAGCAGAGAGCAGGAACAGGTCAAGTTCAAAGCACTGTTACATCTGGCCTGGGGTTAGGTCTGGATCCAGCCTGACTGGATTGAGTTTGAAACTCTTGATGATCTAGGTAGGACACCACCACCTTGCATTGGGAGCCAGGTGATGGTAGGAGGCTTCTCTAGTAAATATTAACCCAGCTCTCGAGTCTGTTCTTCAGCTTCATGGCAGGCGACATGTGGTGACCAGGAATCTGGCTCCTGGCTGCCAAGCTGTCTCTGTGGGGGAAGATTTTCTTTCTTGAGAGTGTGTATGAGAATTGTGAGGGCAGAAKACAGTGGTGCATGATGGTTCTCTTTCCTTTGAAGTTGTAGGACAGTCCCATCTGGACAGCACCATCGAGGATCAAGAGATCGTTACTAATCCGCCAGACATTTGCCAAGTTGTGGAGGTGACCACCGAGAGTGATGAGCAGCCAGTCAGCATGAGTGAGCTGTACCCTCTGCAGATTTCCCCCGTGTCTTCCTACGCAGGTGAGTGGGCAGGAGGGAAAACTGGGGACTGAAGGGGGAAGAGAGCAGAGCCATCCTTCAGTCTAGCTCCACCCCATCTCACCACTCAACAGAGCATCTCCTCTCTGTCCTAGGAATTCTTCTTGTTGGAGTTATTTGATTTTCTTGACCAGCATCATCTTGGACACTTTTTTGTCTTCAGCTAGATAACATGTTCACAGCATTCTCTGCTTGATGGCCCATGACATGTTCATCCAGGACTAACAAATAAGATTTCTTGGGGGAAGGTGGTTCATCAAAGTTGAATTTTTTGACAGGGTGTTTTAATGGAATCTCAAATTGATTAAGCTAGAACRGGACCTTAGAAATCATCTTTCCAATTCCTTTATTTTCAGATGCTAAGGGCCCCACACAGCCATTCAATGTTTGGGCCAGGATTTCAACTCAGCTTTCAGACCTCAAGGTCATTGTTAAAGCCATGTCATTCCACCAGGTTTATCAGTCACTTCCATTGGTTTCTCCCTTTTTTTTCCTATCTATTTCGGCTTCCAACGGGTCCAAACAACGGAACCCATTTATAATTCCCCACAGAACTGGTCCCATAATTTCAGGAATCTGTCCAGACAGAGTCAGAGGATTAGAAACAGTTGCAGGAAAACGATGGCTCCTTTATCAACATGACTTCATCTTGTATTTTCCTAATGATCTCCGTTTAATTTTTTGGAACTCAATTATAATTAGGAAATTTAAATTCTGAGCAGGGCTATTGCTTGCATATATTAAAAATAAAAAGCAGAGGCCCTCTCCTGGGAAACTACAGTTAGCTCTAGGAAATGGTTGGGGATTCTTCCCGGTGTTTGCAGACTGCCAAGGAGAGTGTCTTCCAGCTAGGGTGCCACCCCAGTGACTGGCACAGAAACAGCATGACAATTGAGAGTGGATTCAAATGCCTGGTTGTTTATATATTAACAGACACTAAATTAACCTCATCTTCCATGAGTGCCTACTTTCTTTTTTAACTTATTTTTTAAATTGTGGTAAAATACATATAGCACAAATTTGCTATTTTTCCATGTATAACTCAGTGGCATTAAGTGCATTCATGGTGTTGGGCAACCCTTAACCACCACTGTCTCCAGAATTCTTTTCATCTTGTAGAACTGAAACTCTGTACCCATTAAACACTCCCCCTCCACCCTACCCCTGGCAACCACCAATCTACTTTCTGTCTCTATGAATTCRGCTACTCTAGGTAGCTCTTATGAGTGGAATCATATAGTATTTGACCTTTGGCAATTGGCTTATTTCACTTAGCCTATGTCCTAAATTTTAGCTTTTGTGTTAGGAACATGAAAGCAAGGTGGGAACAAACCTTGGCTAAAGGAATAATCTGTCAAATGTGATTAGCTTGTCATCACTTGTTCATTCATCAAACCTATTTTGAACTCTTCTATGTGCCAGGCTGGATTTGGTCTTAGCCAGTTTCCAATAACTGTATTATTTGTTGCATGTTTATTGTGCCATGGGAATATGCTAGATGCTTGGTGTTGACTGACTTGCTTAATTATCAAGAAAATAACCCTGYTAGCTGGAATACCATCATTATTCTCTCTTTAAAAATGAGGAATCTAGGGCTAGGACGTAGCTCAGTAGCAAAGCATCTGCCTTGCATTAGCAAAGCTCTAGGTTTGAAGAACAAAAGAAAGAACCTTACCATAATAATGATAATAATAATAACAACAACAACAAGATTTTTTTTAAAATGAGGAATCTAAGCCGAAGCGGGTTAAGCAGTCTGTCCAGGGATGAAAAACTGGTGACACAGACAGCATCTGTGTGTAGCTGATGCCAGTGGCCTGGGCTTGACCCCTCACACTTCAGTGCTGCCCTGGACACATCCACTTCCTTGATACTTATAGGAAGCCACCGTAGGAGGTGGAGACGAGTGTTTAGGTCTTAACCATGGAGTAGAGGTACCTGAAATGTGAAGGACTAAGATATTTTGCTCATATTTATATAACTATGGCTAAAAATCCCATGACTTTCTTCTATGTCGTGTTGCTGCTGGCACTGTTACCATGTATGAATGGGGTTTCTTTTGGCAGGCGGAAGGGTATTTGAGCTTGAGAGTTGACTTTCATGTTTACCTGTGGAGCAGGTCTTTTCTGAAGTCTTCCTTGGGGATTCTGGAAAGATCTCTTCTTGCAGGGGTTCCAGCAGTGGCATTTTGCTTTAGCAGGAGAATCCCAAGAACAGCTAGCTGATCCCTGCAGAGAGAAATGAAAATTTCATTACCCTTTTCAGGATATTTGCATAGATTTCAAAACAAGGATTCCAGTACCGGGATGACCGGCAGCGGGAGGTTTTGTTGGAGCCTGGCTTTTCAGACTAGCCTCTGGATCTTTCCATTGTTTTCATTGTCTGAATTCTCCAGAATCTTTTAGAGGGAAGTTTATTAGATGGAGCCAAAATGTTCCATTGCTGCTGCTTTTCTAGAGCTTACAGACATTCATCAGTTACTGACCACGGCTAGTAGAGGTCTTTTAGTCTTATGTTCCTCAGTAGAATGGGCTGTTTGCCTGTTTTTCATGACAGAATTCCTTTGTTCAGGCTATTCAAACCCAATTCAACCTCCTAACCACTTGCATTCATTTACCTGTTAAGGAAATTGCTAGTTGGAGGTCACTTGCTATATTTTCCCCCTACTGGTCATGAAATATAATCCCAGTAGTATTACAAAACCACATTCAGTTTTGCAAATCTGCCTTCTCAGTCTAAAATATCACGGTGAGAAAGAGAAGAGACGGCATGCAGTAACATACTCAGAGAAGTACTTGCATTGGATGTTTTAAGACAACATAAAATTCTAGTTTGATCTGTAATATTTTCATACTGGGAAGGAATGTTCCAAAGCCCAACCTAGGGAAGCTCAGGGATAGTCATCTTATTTGTTTGTTTGTTTGTTTGTGGTACTAGGAATTGAGCCCAGGGCCTCATGCATGCTAGACAAATGCTTTAAGCCACATCTCTTGCCCTCGTTTTTGTTTTGATTTTTTTTTCTTTTTCTTTTAAACTTCATGTCTACCATGAAGTTCCTTTTGCCTGATCTGTGACACGAGGATTAGATTAGGTTATTGATGGTTTTGTAAAAGAGTACCACAGTAGTATTTGGGGGGTGGTGTGTGTGTGTGGTGGGGGCATGGAGAATAGCTTTGAAAAGGAAGCAATATACAAAGAATTAACTGGTTGTAATCCAGAGAATAGAGATTATACTGACCAATAACCATCAGCGAGGACTTTGGGTCCTTAAGGAAACCACATCAGGCTTTCAAGCTGTTGGTGGAGCAGAGATCCATTAGCTTTGACACTCAGGGGATTCTAATTTGAACCATTCAGCTGAGTCTTCTAGTGAAAGTAATTGAGGAAATGATTGATGGAAAGAAATCTTTGTCAGTTTTATTTTGTTGAACAAGAGCCTTCCAGAAAATGTGCTAGATATCATATAGTGCAAAAATGCATTACATAATCATTTTTCTCTCCATAATGTTCCTGAAATGGCTTAGCAATGTATATTCTCAGGGAGGTGTTAAAAACTGGGCTGTGGCTCAGTGGTAGAGCGCTTGCCTAGCATATGTGAGGCACTGGATTCAATCCTCAGCACCACATACAAATAAATAAAGGTAAAAAAAATACAACATTATTAAAAAATATATTTAAAAAAAAATGGGCTAAAGGAGAATGTGAACCCAGACAGTACATCCTAGAACTGATGCTCTGGAAGAATCTTTGAAGTCATCTGATCTATACTGCTTCCCGACCTTTTACTTTAGCTTCTTTCAGGGATATAAACCAGAAAGTTAAGTGAATTACTCACATACCTATTAACTATTGTGTCAGCACTTCCTGCTTATTCGGATTATGCTTATAAAGCAACTCCAATTGTTTTTATTCCCTTGTTTTTGAAATTAGTTTTTACAAGATCCAGACTAATCAAAAGGCAAAATGAAGTAATGCGTRTTGGTATTTCAGAGTGACATGAATCTGGAAGCAGCAGCGGCCGCAGTGAACTCATTTATCATGTAAGAAGTCACCGTGGAAACGGCAGTGGCCCAGTAGAACCGAGAGACAGAGGAAGTGAGCGCTTTGAGCAGCCATTTGGGAGTAGCCCTGAGAACCACTGTTGGTCTGGAGAGAAGACTCTGGGGTCCTTAGGTGGGAACCTCAGGTGTCTCCATCAAGGCCACTTTTTTCAAACAATAAAAGCTGGAGACATCAGTGTGGTAGTCAGCCTTTTTTCACTGACAGAATACCTGAGAGAAACAACTGAAGGGCTGGAGGTRTAGCTCAGTGGTAGAGCGTGGGAGAAGAGGAGCTGGGCCGTGCCCCCAGCGACCTCACTTCCTTCTGCGAGGCCCCCCTGTCCTACAGGTTCCACTGGCTCCCAATCCTGCCATTGTCTGGGGTCCACGTCTTCAACACGAGATCCTTTAAAGACATTTAAGATCCAAACCACAACACTTAGTTTCTAATTTAGAGTCTTCATAACTGCTTTGGAAGCATTCCGTCTTCATTTAGAAATGAAGGTCTTCCACCAGCTTCTGTGTTCGTTGAAACCAAAAGTCCAGAACATGAGAAATAAACATCAGTATGTTCGTTTTCTCATCCACAGCTTTCCCCCTGAAGTTGAAAACTGGGTATTTAGTGAAAATGGACATTCTGATCATATTCATGGTCCGTGCAAGGAGACCAAAGAGTCATTTTTTTTTTTTTTTTTTTGCTACCAGAACATGAACCTAGAGTCACTTTGCCACTAAGCTACATCCTCAGCCCTTTTTTAATTTTTAATTTTTTTTTTTGAGACAGGGTCTCATTAAGTTGCATAGGGCCTTACCAAGTTGCTGAAGATGGCCTTGAACTTGCAATCCTCCTGCCTCAGCCTCCCAAGCCTCTGGAATTACAGGGATGTACCCCAGCACCTGGATTACTAAGGACTCTTAACCCAGGATCTGATTTCCAAACTCTCCAGTAACTGCAGCTTGGGCTTGATAGAGTCCCAGAACCTTGGTGTCAATTGCTCATTTTCCTGAGGCTCCAGCCCCCAAAGTATGCCGGGTGGCATTTGTTTACATTTTTATTTRAAGGGAAAGGAACGGAAGATCATGGTATTTATGGAGGGTCGTTAAGAATGAAGGGGGCTTGGCATGCTTGGAAGGAAGGGAAACTTGAACTTCAGAGCACAAACAAAGCTAAGCATAAAAATGGAAAGGGGATCTTGAACTTTTGCCAGAGACAGAGCCAATAGGGAAGCAGAGTTGCTGTGTTTGATGGGTGTCCCTGGAATCAGAAGTGCAGTTTTGTTTTCTGTCCTCTGTGCTGACTCAGTCCGTGACTTTGGCAAGTTTCTCAACATCTCTGTTCCTCTTTTTCCTTCTTGGGAGCAGCAGCCCAGCCTCTATCTCCTCTGGAGACTGGGCTTGTGTGGGGTTATGTTTGGAGGGAGGTTTCCTTTTCTATTGCTCTTCATTTGTTTCTGTCTGGAATATTTCATGTGCTTATTGTTGTCCTTTGGTCTTCGTAGCTGGGATCATTGTCAGCTAAGCCTCGACCCTTCTTTTGGCATCTGATGCTCCAGCTGTGCTTTGGGGAAACATGCTCCGTTCACGCAGTGCAGACGCCTGTCCTTTGGCTGCTCATGTCTCAGCCCTAGCTATGACCCAGGCCTTTGCAGAGCTCCTGGAGAACAATGGCTGAGAAACATGCAGAATGCGCCCTGTGGGATCTCTGGGGTCCACAGGCTTGCTGTTGGGCTAAGGAATGCAACTGTGGCATGAGTTGTCTGTTCTTTAGCCTTTAATGATGTGTAGGGAGTCTGATCTGTAGCTCATGCTCTGGGTGGTGGAAAGGACTCAAGTCTGGGCTGCAGCCATCTTGTCCCACAAGGAAGATGTGAGATTGGAAGCCAGTTCCTCATCAGGGACACAGTAGAAGAGTGTGGAAGGCTCTAGAACACACTAGCATTCCTACATATAGAGGGACGATAGTACCTGCTGTCCAACTCGGAATCCTTATAAGGTCTAAACAAAGCCTACATGCAAAGGCTGTGGCCCCGCCTGGCCCTAGCACTCCACAAATATTCATTATTACAATTTCTCTTCAGGCCTCCACTAAAATATAAATGTCCCAAATGGAAAGATTCCTAAGAGTCTATGGTTTGGAAGTTCCACCTTTGGTGCATTCATTTTGACTCTGTTCAACAGGCCTGTCATGCAAATTCGATGTTGAATAACTCCAGTTCCTTATCTGTGCTGTGCGAGGCCCCATGGTAGGCCTTTCCTTAACACCTTCTCACTCACTCATCACACAGTCCTCCTTGGAAGGTGGAAATGAAGGACACTCCCCATTTTTTCAGATGAGGAAAATATATGTAGCTCCCAGGAATTAGGAAATTGGCTCCGTGTCTCACAGCTGGCAAGTGGAATCAGGATAGTAACTGSTTAGTTATCTGTTGSTTCATGACAGTGTGACTACAGACTTAATGGCTTAACACAATACACAGTTCTTATCCCACAGTTTCTGTGGATCATGCGTCCAGGTGTGGCTCAGGTGGGTTCTCTGCAGCAGAATCTCACTGACCTGCCGTCARGGTGTTGGCTGGGGCTGCTGTCTCATCTGAGGTTCAGCTGGGAAGAGGTTCAGTTCCAAGCTCAGGTGGTTTTTAACAGAGTTTAGTTCCTCACCGGTTGTTGAACCAGACTTGGCCCTTGGTCCTTTTCCTTGTGAGCTTCCCCAATGGGACCAGCAAGCAGGAGTCTCCTCAAAAGGACAGGTTCCGTCTTATGTGACATGGTCATGGAGATGTAAAACCTGGATCCTTTGCTGTATTCTGTTGGTTGAAAGCAASTCACAGGTCCCACTCACACTCAAGAGGAGGAGGTTCCAAAAAATTGAATACCAGATGACAATCTGAGGCCACCTGAAAGTCTGTCTACCTGGGGTCACCCAGGTGGAAGAGGCAACTCTTAAGAATCTAAGATAGTGACTAACTGAAAGGAAAGTGACCACAACACTCGGAGTGACCAAAAGATCTTTATTGCAGCAGTGCAACAAAGAGAAAAGAAGGAAGGAAAGAGAGAGAGACAAAGAGAGAGAGAGAGAGAGAGAGAGAGAGAGAGAGACAAAGAAGAGAAGAGATGAACAGGGAGAGAGCAAGAGCAAGAGAGAGACAGAGAGTGCACGCAAGAAAGATGAAGAGCAAGAGAGAGAGAGAGCAAGAGAGAAAGAGCAAGAGAGAGAGAACAAGAGAGAGGGGGGCCTGGCAGGAGGGAGTTTTTATAGCCTAAATCTAATGGGGCCTCTGGGTCTGCAAGCTGCCTTGTTGGCCCAAGGGGGGTTGAGTGCTCAGCCTTGAGCGGGACTTGACACAAACAGGTGATAAAGGACCAGATAGAGGGGGGTTTGAGTGCATGGGCTATCTTGCAGCCAACATCTGTTCAGCCTGCCCTGCAGACAACACAGTTCAGCCTGCTCTGCACCCAACACTAACCAGATGTGGGGTAAGGCGGGTCTGAGTAGAATGGGAATGATGTAGGAAGACTTCTTGGAAARTGTTCACTCTGAGTTGGGACTTCCCCATGATGACTGGCATGGACTGGAAGAGGACCAGCATGGGGCATCATGGCCAGAGCTATAGGGAGGAAAGGGCGCCACAGGGACAGCACCCCATGCTGGATGGCTCTTGGGGGCCCAAGTCATTCAAACTCCCTCCAGCTTGTCCACATAGAAGTGTTTGATCTTATAAAGGGGGGGACTTGATGAGTTTGGTTACCCATTTCTCTTTTGGAAAGAAGTGCTGCTATATCTTTTATCAACACCGCCTGAGCTTCAAAACAGCTTGAGCAACAGGAACAAATAATGGTCCTATGTTTTTCTCTCTTTGAACAGAAAGCGAAACTACCGACAGYGTGCCCAGCGACGAGGAGAGCGCTGAGGTGAGCCTGCTTCCTGCTCCGACCCAAGTGCCTGTGCCTGTGATCCTGTTTTACTTGTGGATGCTTTTGTGTGTCTGTTAAAATATGCATAACCTAAAACTCACCACCCTTCTAGATTTCAAATTATAAAATTGTTGGGCACCAAATGGGAAGAAAAGGGATAAAATGTCATCCTCAGAAAGAGAGGCTATGACAGCAGGAAAAGGAAACTGAAATTGAGGCCAGGAAATGTTGATATTCTTATCACTGTCAACATCCTAATTCACCAGCAGAAATAGAATGTCCTGCCCGGCCAAAAGTAATGACCAGAAATTCAAGCCAGGAAGACCTTAGCAAAGTTACCTCCACACATCCATGGGTTCCCTCCCTCCGTGATCCTGCCCAGAGGCGAGCGATGTCCAATCTTGATTCCCAGTCTGACTGCTTCCGACTTCCCTCCTATAGCTGGGCCCACACAATGGCAGGAAATGGCTGTAAATGATGATGGAAAGAGAAAAGGGGGTGAGAGGAAGAAAGCAGAGAGTGAGGGAGAGGAAGAGAGAAGCTAATGGTTTGTCGAATTAATGATTTCACAATTAATGATTTMAATACATTATAATAAAGTGTGGGAATTCTGAGAAGACAGTGGCTRCATTCACATATATTCCCAACTTGCTTCTTCAAGGTCAGAAAATTACCTTTTACTCTGAATGAAGCCATCCTCTGTACAGGGCCCCTGTTTGTTGAGCACCTGCATCTCTAAGCTGGACACATTTGAAAACAATCAAGGGCGCTCGCTGTCTATTTGCGAGTTCCTCATTTCCCTTCCTCTGAAAATGCAGGTTGACTCAAAGGTCTAATTGGGCCAGCAGCGAGGACTAAGTTGCCCTGACCGACTGTCCGTCATGGCCGGAAGCATATTGAATGTCTGTGTGGGTGCCTAGAGCATAGAGGAGTTGAAAAGCAAGCTTCCCCTTTCTTTTCCTGCCTTCATAGAATATCCTTAGCCATATTTCTTGGAGTTAGCAAATGGGAACTGATAAAAAGAGAAGAGAAACCATTGCTTGGGGTATGAAGAACTGGGTATAGATTTCAGTTGAAGGATGTACAGTTGCTAAGCTTTTGTTCATTGCATTAACTTAAAAAAAAATGTGATTCTAACACCCGCACATGAGAACTGGAGATTGAACCCAGGGCCTTGCACATGCTGGGCAAGCACTGTACTGCAGGCCTTTTGTGAATTTTTTTGAGGCAGGGTCTCCCTAAGTTGCCCAGGCTGGCCTGGAATTTGTGATCCTCCTGCTGCAGTCTCCYAAATTACTGGGATTACAGGTTGTGCCCACCCTTGGTGGCACATTTTTTAAAAGGCATTCAGTGGAAGGAAAAGAACACATATGTCTGGATTATTTTCTTTGAAAGGGGAGACCACACTGGCGGAAGAGGAACATTGAAGGTAAACAGTACCTCAGCAACATGGGGACACGGAGCACCTATCTGCTGCCCAGCATGGCGACCTTCGTCACTTCCAACAAGCCGGATCTCCAGGTCACCATCAAGGAGGAGAGCTGTCCGGTGCCTTACAACAGCTCCTGGCCCACGTTTCCTGACCTCCCCCTCACTCCCTCCGTGACCCCTGCGTCCAGCAGCAGTCGGGACCGAGAGACTCGGGCCAGTGTCATCAAGAAGACGTCAGACATCGCCCAGGCCCGTGTCAAGAGCTGCTAAGCCCTTGAGTCTCCCYGGTGGTTGTTGGGATTTCTTGGCTTTGTGTTGTTGTTTGTTTGTGTTTTATTTTTCTTTCTGACACCTATTTTAGACAAATCTAAGGGAAAAAGCCTTGACAATAGAACATTGATTGCTGTGTTCAACTCCAGCCCTGGAGCTTCTTTTTAACTCAGGACTCCAGCCCCTTGGTAGACGCGTGTCTCTAGAGCCTGCTGGATCTCCCAGGGCGACTCCCTCAAGTTCAAGGACCAACAGCCACACGGGCAGTGGAGGTGCTGCGTTGCCTATGGTCAAGGCCAGCGTGGTGGAGTGGATGCTTCAGAATGGACGAGAAAATGTGAACTAGCTGGAATTTTTTAATCTTTGTGAATATGTACATAGGGCAGTACTAGCGACGCTGCAGTCTGCTTCTGCACCTTATCTTAAAGCACTTATGATAGGCCTTCTTATGATCTTGCTCTATTCCACAGCACATTCATCGTCCCCTTCTCTGCCCTTTACCCTCCACCCATCCCTTCCCATCCCCTCCCACACGGTTCCTTTCCTCCTTTTCCTCCCCTCAGAGGCTGTGATCCACATCCTGGAGGAGGAGGAGGAGGAGGAGAAAATGAACCTCTCCACAGATGTCCCATTTTTAAGACTGCTTGGAGGAAAAAAAAAAATCTTTCTAATCTGCTATGCTTGAATGCCACGCGGTACAAAGGAAAACTATCATGGAAATATTATGCAAATTCCCAGATTTGAAGACGAAAATACTCTAATTCTAACCAGAGCAAGCTTTTTTATTTTTTATACAGGGGAATATTTTATTCAAGGTAAAATTCTAAATAAAATATAATTGTTTTTTATCTTTTCTACAGCAAATTTATAATTTTAAGATTCCTTTTCTTGTTTATCAGCAGTTGTTATTACATCCTTGTGGCACATTTTTTTTTTTAATTTTGTAAAGGTGAAAAAAAAAGCTTTTATGAGCTCATGTAGCAATCAGATTATCCTGTGGATTGATAATAAATGAATATGATATATAGTTAAATTTTTAACGGGCATCACTCCTGGCTTTGTCTGTGTCTGCTTAGAGCACAATCCTGGGACAGGGCCAACAAAATGTTTCTTCTTTGGGGCCAAAACTTTTCCCCTTGTTAACCACAAGAGACCCTGGAAGTTCCCACTCTGAAGCTAAAATTGGCTTCCTCTGCTGAATGCCTACCCTGTACTGGGCCCTGTGCTGATTGTTTTACGTGAGTTACCTTCTTGCTCATCCTAGTTGTGCATCCTAGTTGCATGTGGAGGAGATGGGAGACGTGAAATAAAATGCTTTTCCGTCGGTCACCTGGGCAGGAAGGGGTCATGGGCATGGGAGGACCCCAAGTCTGGAACGACTGTGGAGGGAGCCTGTTAATCCACTCCACTGTTCTCTCCTGTGAGCAGATTCTAGCCACCTGGGTTCTTTCCTTTTCTCACCCACAGTGTCATACGTGACCAAAGTTTTGTGTTCATCACACACTGGGTGCACGGGTAGAAAGTTTTCGATAGTGRGGTATCGCCATTGGGTTCTTGCTCCCTGTTAGTCACTCTTCTTTCTAAGACCAGGAAGTTGGATGCAGGCCCTGTCCTCAAAACTTAGGGTTGGTCCTCTGGAGAGAGCAGTGTGACTTCAAGGACACCAGTCCCCATCACCTGTTTGGTATTTCTAGGTGTWGGCCCGACCTTGAGGAAGCCACCACCCTAACCTCTCATGCTTCCTTAGAACTTAACTTGCCTCCCCTACCACCTCTGGGAGATTGTACGGAGATTGCCAGAGTTAATATTTGAAAATTTCCTTCGATTTGTAAAAGGACAAAGGGCTATTTTTATATCTCTCTCTCCATATGTGGCTGCAGATATAATTAGCGGTCGTAAAATTATCCACCCTGAACAGAAATCAACTGAAGTCTGTTGCTGGTTGGTGTGCTGCAGGAAGAGGGYGGCACGTGGGTGGCTGACTGCTTCTGGGAGGAGCACCTTCATGGAAGGTGTTTATGTCAATTTCTTAGTGAAAGGAGGAGTCATAAGTCCTAAGTAAATGAGTTCTGTTCTTTGTATCAAAATCCTGTTGTTTAGTCCTCCGGTTTTTCAGTGAATTTAAAAGAAGGCAGTAACAAAAGCTGTCCCTGCAGAGGRTTGAGGGCAGCTCTGGTTCTCTGCCCGCTTTCTTCTTCCTGCTCCAGAAAGAGCATCCAGCGTCCATCCTACCTCCGTCAGCAGCTCTGCAGGCCCCAGGCCGTTGCCTTCCTCTTCTGAACCTCACCAGGTGGACAAAAATACAGGATTCAGAGACATGGATTTAAGTGCTAAAGATGAGGCGGGGGAAAAATAGAATCATGCTTAAAATATTTCTGAGAAGCTCTACTGTTTCTGAGTAATACTTAACCAGTGGTATAGGAGAAGAAGCCAGTTACCCAATGCTTAGGTAGACACAGGGATGGAAACCAGGTGAGTTGGGCCATCTTAGGGACTCAAGCCCAGACCTTGTTGTTGTTATTTAGAGGACGTTCAAGAGACAGGCGCTTCATTGGCTGTGCATCTGTGTGAGCTGATACGGTTTTACGATGGGTCTAGCCGTGTATGCGTACGTGTGTGTGCTTAAGTAGCAATTTCAGTGTAACCACCCCTAGAACAGTATTTTCCATTTTCTGCAGCCATTACTTGGGTCCCTCCCTTGATAACAAAGCTCGTTGCCCAGCTATGGACTATAAATCCAGTCACAGGTACTTCCTGCCCAGCCTTAAATTGGGGGAGGCCAGTGCACCAAACACACCTTGGTGAAAAGGCTTCCAGAAGGCTGTGTGAAAGTCTAAATAAATCCATACCCATCTGTAGCATTTTTTCCGTGTTTAAATGAAGCAATCACCAAAGACCGTGTTTAGTCTATTGAAATGAATTTACAGAGAAGAAGAAATATATGTGCATAAGAAATACAAATTCTCTGGACATCAGAACCATAAAATATTCTTTATTCTCCTCAAATACAAAGTGTAGTACACTATTGTGTAACCACCACAGAGACAGAAATTTTAAAAATGAGGAACATCGGTGATTTGGTTTCAGGATTCTGTGTTTCGGAGAAACTGTGTTTTGGCGTGGTATTTTGCATATGAATGAAAAACATGTTAAGTCCCAAGCAGCCTCCTGCCCTGAGTGTGTGAGACAGAACACTAGACCTCCACTTGTTCCTGGTCATTCTTGGAGCATCAAATTCATTCGGCTTTAGGAGTCCCCTGTTATTCTAGCTTTGAACAAACAGACCCAGAGAAAAGGTGAAAATAAGGATCCYACTTCTCTGCCAAATTTCTGTGAAGAAAGACAAAAAGTTAGGAAAACAAAGATGTGTTAGATGTGTTTGTTAGCCAAGATGAGTTCCTGGCATGTAGGGGTCAGATATCAAGACTCAATACTAATTCCAAGTTTGGGCTTGGAAAGAGAATGCAGGCAGAAACTGGCTTAGCTGATGAGGTTTAGCCACAGATCTCATCCTGAAACTCCATCCTATGACAAACCCATGGCCAGGATGATCGGAGCCAGGGACAGGAACCTGAATGCCGGGGGATCTGGAGTAGCTCCTGCTTTCTGTCCAGGCTGCAGTAGACTTCCCCTAAAGGTATGAGGGTGGATGCCTATCTCCCCTGGGACTGTAAGCTGCTTGAGGTAGTGGGTCTCGATCACGTATGTATTCACATCCCAACAAGTGGAACAAGGTCAGGTATCTGGTAGGCAATTGCTCATAGGAGMTTCTCTTCCCCTTTGCCCCATCATTCCCAGTGTCAAGACAATAGGGCTGTGATCCTCAGCTGTGCCTCTTAGCAATGAGGCCAGCCAYAGACCTGAAGCAGGGAGCTCTGGCTGTGCAAAGCTGCAAGTCAAAAGATACATACAGGAAGAWGGTAGGTGAGATGCTCCCTCCTGAAGCTGCCTGGCCTCTGAGCCCCCGGCCAACTCCACTGAACACTGGTATTATCCCTTGCCTGGACTTGGGCACTGCTGACCCTGCTGAKAGAACAAATGAAGGTTTCGTGGAGGTTTTCTTTTGTAGTTACACTAACAACAGGTGCAGAGGCACTGTTTCTCTGCTTCTGAAAATAGCCCTGGAAGGAAGGAAGTGGTCAGGCCCAATAGTCGGTTTTAACAAAAATGTTAAATCTGTCCAAGAACCTGGGTCAGRCTGTGGAAAGATCAAGACGTAGAACATTTATTTCAGAGTTCACAAAGTCTGGCAAGAGCATGTTCTGCAATCCTTTGACCAAGTTTTTTTCAGATGAGAAGCAGTWTGTGTGCTTCGTCCCTCTAAGCAAGCTGCCCTTTGGAGATTTGGTCAGTTTCTCCGTATCTGCTTTATAAACATGTTCAGACAGAGACTGCTAGCTCTGCAGAAAGTATTGTGTTGGGATTGTGCAACTGCTGCTCATTTAACCACTTACTTATTCACTGCTGGAGAAACAGAACTGTCACATGTAACTGCTTGTACCATGAAAATGGTCCATTTAGTTACACAATTGTTTTTGCAGGTGCACAAAAAAAAAAAAAAAAAAAAAAAAAAAAACAAGGCAATAATAGCACATCTAAGTTTCAGTTTTGGTTCAAACGAACATTTTAAAATCTAAATACCCATCCACATGAGTCACCAGAGAAAGAGAATACCTAAGATGTTACATCTGCCAGAAGCTTGGGTCTTACTGAGAATGCTTTTATTTTCCAAATTCTCTGTAATGCACCAGTTCAGTGTCCTTGACATTTCAAATCCACATGATTACACTGGAACACATTGCATAAAGTTTTAGGATAACTTTAGCAGCTAGATGGGAATGATTTTTTTTATGATTAGTGATAAAAAAGTCTTTATTCACTCCTAGAATTAACATTGCTAAATATTCCACAGTACTTCTCCAATGCTATGAACCTTTACAGCATCTTTTCTGTGGGAARGCTAGGTATGGCTTTTTTAATGTGACTGTGAAATACAGAAGAGATTTCATAGGCTTGGTTGTAAAATACTCAGCATATAGCCAAATGAGAGTTGTAGTGGAAAAAAAAATGCAAAATGCAGCCTAAGCCATTGCTCAAATTTTAAAAACCTAGTGGTTTCAGGATCATATGCAACTGAACTGATACTGGATGGAAACTTCAGGCTGGTTTAATAGATTCWTGTTTTCAAGCTTTCATTTGCAAGATTGATTTAAGGTAATACAATGCCAAGTGCCTTTCTTTAACAGCTTATGAATTTAATTCGGGTAGCAGATCATCTTGGTTTTTGCAGGGCTGAGAGGTCTTCAAACATTGGACTTTCAGGGCTAAAACATCTCAGGTAAACCGGAAGGAATAGGTCACACTGAATATAATGCTGAGATCTAAGGATGCATGTCATTTGTGGTTTTTTTGAGGCTGTTAAAAATCCAGGTGAAAGCTTTATGAGGAGGCATCATTGTTGATGAATCTATTACTAATACATTCTAAGGAGTGTTGAGTGAAGAAAAGCTGATTTCATTCATTCACCACCATTGAGTTCCCACTATTTGCTGGTACTGTTCTAAGCTCAGAAGAGAATAGAGCCTTTCTTCTAATGGAGCTTAAATTTGAGGGGGACATTCAACTAATAAATAAAAATATTCATTGGGAGATAATAAATGCTATGGAGAAAAAATGAAGGCAGATAAGAGAGATGGGGCAGATATTCAAAGCTTTCATCTTGATGTTTACAGGATCAATTGCTGGGTAGGCAGCTGCAAAGGCCAGGAAAATGGCGTGTATCAGCAGAGCTCAGTTGCAGGAAACAAAAACCACAGGAGCTATTTTAAGCAGAAAGGCATTGAATAGAGAGAAGCAGGTGTTTACAGCCTTGCTGGGAAGGCTGGAGGAGCAGCTTCAGGGTTGCTTCCACCTCTGCCACCATTGAGAAGGCGGGCAGTCAGGCTGTTGCAGGGAACAGGGACTCTAAGAACATGTTGCTTTTGCTGAAATCTGCTCATCAGAGAGTCCCTATCACCTCCACCWTAA